TTTAAGGCTTTCTCTCCTCATTTATAAAATGAGGATTATAATACTTGTCTTCTCTCAACATAGGTTATTGTGAAGATGAAATGAAAGAATGTATGTGAAAGCATTTTATATACTGAAATTTTGTATACTGGAAATAGAAGTCTTTTAATTTTGTCATTATCGCATGTCTAAATTACCATGTTCTGATTTGTACTCACCAATTCAATCTCCCTTTCTCTCAAGAAATTGAACATAGATATATATACAAACATATTCTAGCATTTTTCTTTTCCTTCAGTGGCATTTTTAAGCTCTTTGTGGGTAAGGACCATAATGTAGGCTTCTATGTATTTGCCTTAGCTTGTGCATTACCCTTTGACTGGAAATAGAATTCATTCTGAAAGCTCAAATGTAGCTTCCAATATATAATATAACTTAAGGGTCATATATAAGTCCATAGTGTCTAGCACTTCTTGAAAATAATTTGAACACACAGTGAAAATGCTATCCTCAATGGCCTTATATACCATTTTAAGTAGAATCCCCCCTCATAAATCTGGGAGTGAATAATAAGATATAGTGAGTAACAAGATTTAAAGGCATAGATTCACAATTATTAGGGACAATGATTATAGGTATAGAACTGAAATGCACTGAGAGGCTTTAACTGACTTGTAGAGATTATACTTTTTTAAAAGGATCATCATTTTCTCAGAACACTGAAAAAAAATAATACAAAGTACCATCAAGGCACCACTTCAATTTTAAAACCTAAATTACAAGTGAGAGTGCCTTTTAAAAATTCACGTGCTATAATATGAGAACACAAGCATTGAGTAGAAATTTGAATTTAATAAAATCTCTTGTGAGAAGCAAATATCTAAACACTTGGCTCGGATGTTTGAAGTCGCCATATAACTTGTTTCTTTTAAACCAAACATTTTAAATACAAACTTGAAAGTACTTACTTCCACTTGGAATCAGGTCCCTTTCTGGGATGAAAAGTTTGTATCCATAGTGTTTTTCCAGGACATCTGGCAGTATTTCAAGAGCAAAATGCTCTTCTTCTGGACTGTCACAGTCTAAAGTATCTTGGTCCACTTTTGTGTAAGAGAGATAGGCATCATATTCTTTGCTGTCTTGAATGTAAAGAACAATGAAAGGGTTGTAAGTATTTGCAAGTTCTCTTTGAGTACTAAAAGTCTATAACCATTAACAGGCTGTAATAAGCACTATACTTAGTGACAATCTTTAATGATTGTTATAAAAAAGAAAAAAAACCACATGCTAAGTTACAGGAAATCTGGCCCATTTCAACTTTCAACATAACCTAGTCATATGATGTGGAATTGAAACTGTTATGCAGTGGGCTACCTACAGCCAAGATAGTATCAGAGACAGAATTATTATTTGTGACTTTCAGTGACTATACATTATCTGTGATTTTTAGCAATGTGTGAGTGATTAGCTCAGTGTGTTTGAATGTAGGACTAAATAGACCAAAGTCATGGATTTGAACCCTTTCTGTGCCAGTTGGCTTGGTTTTTTTAGTTAGTCACAGGCTATATCTTGTTTGCACAAATATGTGCAAAAGATCCAAGAGGGGCTGGCCCTAGAGTGTGGAAGATCAAAATAATCCAGTCTCACTCCTGGAGACACTACTCACAGCACATACCATACTTCCAATTGGTCAGTGTCGTCATCTTCATATACAAAAAGCAGTTCATTACCAAACATTGGAGACAGCAGCTGGGTTTTATACAAGTGCACCGCCTGTTATTCTAGTTCAATCCATGGCCAACTAATTTGACACAAGCTTCCAAAAGAAACCTTTGTTTCAAAATATACATCTTTCCAGTGTTGCCAAATTAGATTTTCCCTCTCACACATTTAGTAAGGGAGTTATCTGTGCTTTGCAAATATATATTTTCTTTCTCCTTTGCTATATTGGCACAAAGCCAACCTCTCCAAAAAAAGTAAGTGTGTGTGTGTGTGTGTGCATTTGTGTGTGTGTGTATA